CCTGCACCAGGCTGGGAAGACTGAATCTGCAATAGGTAAGCAGCTTGGTGTGAAGAAATCAACTGTGGGAGCAATTATTAGAAAATGGAAGACATACAAGACCACTGATAATCTCCCTCGATCTGGGGCTCCACGCAAGATCAAAATGAGAAACAAGAACGGTGAGCAAAGATCCCAGAACCACACGGGAGGACCTAGTTAATGACCTGCAGAGAGCTGGGACCAAAGTAACAAAGGCTACCATCAGTAACACACTACGCCGCCAGGGACTCAAATCCTGCAGTGCCAGACGTGTCCCCCTGCTTAAGCCAGTACATGTCCAGGCCCGTCTGAAGTTNATGGGCTACAATAGCCGTATTCCCATGGTCAAGCCACTTCTGAACTCAAGACAACGGAAGAGGCGTCTGACTTGGGCTAAGGAAAAGAAGCACTGGACAGTTGCACAGTGGTCCAAAGTCCTCTTTTCAGACGAAAGCAAGTTTTGTATTTCATTTGGAAGTCAAGGCGCCAGAGTCTGGAGAAAGGCTGGAGAGGAGCAAAATCCAAGTTGCTTGAAATCCAGTGTGAAGTTCCCACAGTCAGCGATGGTTTGGGGAGCCATGTCAGCTGCTGGTGTTGGTCCACTGTGTTTCATCAAGCCCAGAGTAAATGCAGCTGTGTACCAAGAGATTTTAGAGCACTACATGCTTCCGTCTGCTGAAAAGCTCTATGGAGATGAGGAATTCATTTTCCAGCATGATCTGGCACCTGCCCAGTGCCAAAACCACCAGTAACTGGTGTACTGACCATGGCATTACTGTCCTCGATTGGCCTGCAAATTCCCCTGACCTGAACCCCATAGAGAATATGTGGGGTATTGTGAAGAAGAAGCTGAAAGACACCAGACCCAACAATGCTAATGAGCTAAAGGCCGCTATTGAAGCATCCTGGGCATCCATAACACCTCAGCAATGCCACAGGCTGATTGCCTCCATGCCACGCCGCATTGATGCAGTAATCCGTGCAAAAGGATTCCCAACCAAGTAGTACTGAGTGCATTAATGGACATTTTCAAATGTTTGATTGTGTTTTGCGGTTATAAATCTTTTTTTTTTTACTTGGTCTGAGGAACTATTCTAATTTTTTGAGATAGGATTTTTGAGTTTTCTTAAGCTGTATGCCATAATCAGCAATATTAAAATAATAAAAGGCTTGCAATATTTCAGTTGATTTGTAATGAATCCAGAATGTATGACATTTTTGTTTTTTTAATTGCATTACAGAAAATAAAGAACTTTATCACAATATTCTAATTTTCTGAGACAGTCCTGTATACCCTTTGTTGGCAATGACAGAGGTCTTCACAAGGTTTTCACACACTGTTGCTGGTATTTTGGCCCATTCCTCCATGCAGATCTCCTCTAGAGCAGTGATGTTTTGGGGCTGTCGCTGGGCAACACGGACTTTCAACTCCCTCCAAAGATTTTCTATGGGGTTGAGATCTGGAGACTGGCTAGGCAACTCCAGGACCTCGAAATGCTTCTTACGAAGCCACTGTTTCGTTGCCCGGGCGGTGTGTTTGGGATCAAGACCCAGCCGCGTTTCATCTTCAATGCCCTTGCTGATGGAAGGAGGTTGTCACTCAAAATATCACGATACATGGCCCCATTCATTCTTTCCTTTACACAGATCAGTCGTCCTGGTCCCTTTGCAGAAAAACAGCCCCAAAGCATGATGTTTCCACCCCCATGTTTCACAGTAGGTGTTCTTTGGATGCAACTCAGCATTCTTTCTCCTCCAAACACGTCTAGTTGAGTTTTTACCAAAAAGTTCTATTTTGGTTTCATCTGACCAAATGACATTCTCCCAATCCTCTTCTGGATCATCTAAATGCTCTCTAGCAAACTTCAGACGGACCTGGACATGTACTGGCTTAAGCAGGGGGACACGTCTGGCACTGCAGGATTTGAGTCCCTGGCGGCGTAGTGTGTTACTGATGGTAGCCTTTGTTACTTTGGTCCCAGCTCTCTGCAGGTCATTGACTAGGTCCCCCCGTGTGGTTCTGGGATTTTTGCTCACCGTTCTTGTGATCATTTTGACCCCACGGGGTGAGATCTTGCGTGGAGCCCCAGATCGAGGGAGATTATCAGTGGTCTTGTATGTCTTCCATTTTCTAATAATTGCTCCCACAGTTGATTTCTTCACACCAAGCTGCTTACCTATTGCAGTTTCAGTCTTCCCAGCCTGGTGCNGATACATGGCCCCATTCATTCTTTCCTTTACACGGATCAGTCATCCTGGTAAACATGGGGGTGGAAACATCATGCTTTGGGGCTGTTTTTCTGCAAAGGGACCAGGATGACTGATCCGTGTAAAGGAAAGAATGAATGGGGCCATGTATCATGAGATTTTGAGTGAGTGACAACCTCCTTCCATTAGCAAGGGCATTGAAGATGAAACGTGGCTGGGTCTTTCAGCATGACAAGGATCCCTAAACACACCGCCCGGGCAACGAAGGAGTGGCTTCATAAGAAGCATTTCAAGGTCCTGGAGTGGCCTGGCCAGTCTCCAGATCTCAACCCCATAGAAAATCTTTGGAGGGAGTTGAAAGTCAGTGTTGCCCAGCGACAGCCCCAAAACATCACTGCTCTAGAGGAGATCTGCATGGAGGAATGGGCCAAAATACCAGCAACAGTGTGTGAAAACCTTGTGAAGACCTCTGTCATTGCCAACAAAGGATATATAACAAAGTATTGAGATGAACTTTTTTTATTGACCAAATACTTATTTTCCACCATAATTTGCAAATAAAGTCTTTAAAAATCAGACAATGTGATTTTCTGGATTTTTTTTTCTCATTTTGTCTCTCATAGTTGAGGTATACCTAGGATGAAAATTACAGGCCTCTCATCTTTTTAAGTGGGAGAACTTGCACAATTGGTGGCTGACTAAATACTTTTTTGCCCCACTGTATATACTTTATTAATCCCAAATTGGGATATAGTTTTGTTACAGGACCAGCGTGCTCTACATTAAAATACAAATACTTAAAAAGTGGAAAAGAGTTAACAATTAAAGATAACATAAAAATAGTATATCAAATATAAACAATATACAACTTTAAAAAAGAACATTTTATATTGTAATGTATTGATCTCTAATATAATATAGATAAAATATAAAAAAAACTCTAAACAAGATTTAGTGCTTGACGCCCTCATCAAATAGCATAATTATTCAAAGATTGGCCAAAAACATGACAAATTATCATATTTAAAACGTGTATCTACAGTAATGTAGAATATTGATTTACCATCAGTCGACACAGAGATATAGTTCTCAGGTCAAATAATATACATTTATTCCCAGGCTGTTTTAAAACTTAGTTTGTTTTTTGGTCCCAGATGTTGTATCTCTGATGAATTCCTCCACAGACTGGACCTGGTCGGAGGCCATGGCGCTGCAGCCTTTAGACACAGAGACGTGGACCACCAGCGCAGCCAAGCGCCTGGTGGCCTCAATGCAAGGACCCTCCAGGCCCCCGGAGCATGGCCCACCCCCCCCGCTCCAGTCCCAGGCCTCGGGATCTGCAGAGGAGGCAGATGCTCATTTGAAAGAGATGTACCACCGCTCCCTGGTGTCCTGGTTCGGGGACAGCCCCTCGGCTCAGCTCGGCCTCCACAGGCTGATCCGCACCGGCCTGACCATGGGGAAGCAGGCGGGGGACTGGTACGGGCCCGCTGTGGTGGCACACATCCTCAAGTAAGTCTAAGAAAATGTTTAAGGCACAACTGATTCGTTTTTTATGTGCACTCATGATTTGATTTATAATAATGTCTTCAAAAAATTATTGATACTCAAAGTCTAGATTTTAGAATGAAATGAAGCAAGAACAAGGACCTGTGACCAACAAATGCTTGACCTTTTCCCTTGAAATTACTTCATCAATCAGTGAAAGGACAATTTCATAATTTAATTTATTTTAATGAACTAATCAAGCACTAAAAATGTCCCTGGAAGCTCTGGAAAATACCACTGCAGCATTATCAGTTTCTCTGTTTTTACTTTGTATAGGTATGTGTTCGAGTCAAATATTGTTTGAATTTTGTATAGTCCTATCATATACACAACTATGGTGTAGTTATGTAATGAATGAAACGCCGGTCACAGGTTCCTCAACAATTCAATTACAAGACGTAATAAACAACAATAACAAATAGAGCAAGCTCAGGCGTGAATAGTCTTATGTCCTGAGTCTGGTGGTTTTAATCCTGATGCTGCCGTACCGCCTGCCAGACGTAAGTAGCTACAGTAAAAGATGGTAACACATCGTAGGACTAAAACTTTAAAAAATGCCAAAGTAGGTTTTAGCTGAATTTTATTGTGTAAAAAATAATCTTTATTTTCTGATTTGGATCATCATTACATTTTGTGTGAGGTAATCTTAAGTGTGCTTACAACATGCCACTGTATTTGTGTGTATGCATCATTTTAAATCACTTAAGTTGAGAAAACAGCCTGCGGATGAATAAAATAATGCACATTTTTAATTAAATATTTTATTTGGCAGGGACAATGCACAGTAATGAACACTTAAAACATTCAAATGTGTCAAGCGTAACAGTGCCAGATTTAGCTTTGAGCTAATTTCCATCCGCAGTCCCTCACATAAAACATTTAAGAAAATTACATTTTACAAACATAGCAATAACAAAATACATGATATGCAAAAAGTGCAAATGAACTAAGATAGGAATTTTGCAGTATATTACATGTACTGTTGTAAAATATCTTTGAACAGACACACTGCTCTGACCCTGGATAACATATTATTAAGTGACACACAGTATATCCCTGATGTTGACTTAGCATAAGCTCTTATATTAAAAATCCTCACTTCCCCCCTCCCTCTCTCTCTCTTCCTTTCCTCTGTCTCTTTCTTAGGAAAGCTGTGGAGGAGGCGATGGACCCCGGCTTGGCGGGTATAACTGCTTATGTCTCCCAGGACTGCACAGGTATGAAAGATGAGCCTGCTGTTGATAAAAACAGGATACTGGGCACAACGCCCAAACTGACCCTTCTTTCTCCACTATCTCTTTCTGCTGCTGTGAGGACACTGTGGAGCTGAATAGAAAGGTGACAGGATGCTCACTGTGTCTATTCCCCAAAAATACATTCACTCCAAATCTATAACGTCTCACACCAACCTCGGCTGAACCCCAATAACTTGGGTTTTGAGTTGTGTTTGTCATCTCAATAGCCAGAGCAGAAGATAGCTGGTCTGAGAGCGAACATCTTGTTGGGTTCAGAGTTTAATATTAGAGTCAGAGAGAAAATGGGGAGTGTATTTTACTTGTGTGCACCTGTCGCCATGACAGTGTTCCAATTAATCAAAGGTCAATCAAATCATATTAGCAGTTAATTATTTGGATGATCAACTGAGAATATTTTAAGTAATTTATCAAGCATGTATCCTTCACATGCACATTTTCTTTTTTCTAAAAATGTAAGGAGATGCAAGATTCCCTGTTTTACATCACTTTAAATTAAATCTCTTTTGCTTTAGGACTGTTGATTTGACTAAACAAGTATTATAGATTATATAGAAGACGTTATCTCGGGCTCAGAAAATTGTGATTGACAGTTGTATCATTATCTGAGACGTTTGATATAAGAAGTTGAACAATTCCCTCTGTAAAAGTAAATGATAGATTTACCCACAGAATAATTCACAGAACCCCGTTTTGCGAAATATTTCCAAATTAAGTGTGTTTAAGTGGCATACACTAACTGGCAAAAATGCATCTATCTGTACAATTTCTCTTCTGAGAAAGAATAATTTAGTATCTCACAGATTAATAAAACATCATCGTAAGTAAACCACCCTTATATTTGGTAAACCAGGACCAGGGGAAAGCCTGAAGAGCATTCAGAGTGGCTGACAGATTGAGGGCTGACAGACATGAAAGCAGACAAATGACCTTTGTGTTATTGATCCTCCAAAGTGTACAGTGCTGATGTCATCGATAGCCATAGGGTACCAAGAGCAGGGCAGCCCTCTGCAGAGAGATCAGAGGCCCCGCCCACCTCACAGAGCGACCAACCGGTGTCAGCCTCCATCCTGACTGACAGCCGAGCCGTCATCATCCTCATCCCTGTGAGGCTGGGAGGGGAGAAGACAAACCCGGACTACTTTAACTTTGCAAAGGTGAGAGATACATGGAGGTCAACGGTAGCTGAACCAAGTTTTTTTCAGTCTGATCATTTGTTTTAAATGTTGGTGTTTGATCAAGTTTTGCACGTACACTTCTAGGTGTAAACTAAGTAAGAGTTATAGTCATGCTGTAGAAAGGAAGTAGACATAATGTGGAATGGCAAGTTTAAAATATATGTTGAATTGAGATATTTTATATGAAAATTAATTGTAGGAATTTAGGCTCCTAGCCAGATTTATTTTGTGTTTCTTTGTCCCGCTCTCTGCATTCAGAGCATACTGAGTCTGGAGTACTGCATAGGCATCATCGGAGGGAAGCCCAAACAGGCCTGCTACTTTGTAGGATTTCAAGGTTAGTGTTGGCGTAATGCAAAACACAAAAAGACACAATGAGAGAGGTTGGTGTGAATAACAGGTTATTTTGCATAATATACCCTTCTTATGTGAAAAGACAAAGTAAGTTAATGTATTCCTGTTTGCGTGGGGAAAACGGAGAGGAGTGGAGATCGAAGCAAAGTGAAGCAGCGCTTACTTTATTCTCTCTGACCCATCAAAGCCTCACCCATTTATCACAAGTAAACCTCCCAAGTTGTGAGCTGTAATTGATTTCCATAGGAGGCATGCATTACATTTCATCCGGGCCCCAAAGTGAGCCACTCTTCATCACCTTCAGGAGCCAGGAGGAACCTTCAGTTGTACATCTTGGCAGTCAATATTTACGCATTTACATTTTACCAATTTGAAATACAGTGGTGGATGATGTCTAAATGACAAGCAATACATTCTCCCTGCCATGCCGCGGCTCAGCGCTGCATTCATCATATGCAAATGGTCCAATATAATTGCGTGTTTTTAAAAGTAATTCCCCCACACAAAAATTAAATGACAACCCCTTCTTTTTTTTGTCGGTGTAAAGAATGTGCTTGTACAAACGCATTTGATTATGCAGAATGTAATCCACCCTGGTGGATATTAAAAAGCAACAACCTTCTGTGAGGCATATTTGACGCACACAAGCCTAACAGTAGGCCAAGCAGGTGACTTTGAGCTACTCTGCATAGAAATTGGAGAGAAGCGCGTTTTTGTAATAATCTGATGTTTTTGAATAACTTGTCTTTTGTTTTGTCCTTGCAGATGACAGCTTGATTTACATGGACCCTCATTACTGTCAGTCTTTTGTGGATGTCAGCACCAGCGATTTCCCTCTCCAGGTAATGTGAAATTACACAGACGAGCTGACTGGAGCCCCAGTAATGTGAATTTAATAGTTTCTGTTAGTACTTAAGGGTATGAATCTTAAAGCAGCCCCTGGCCCAATTACCGAGTCCCTATCTGCTGATTTATTTGCTGCTCAGATGTGTGAAGCTGCCACTTAAGAGAAATACGGCAAATACCAGATCAGGTACTGTGAGCCTGAATATTTCAGGACCCATACATAAAAACCCTCTCAGAGCACTGTGTAGCAACTTTTGTTTTATGCTTTTGCATGCAGTGGTATACAATGTGACAATACAGCAGAGTTGTAAATGTATGGGTGCAGTGACAGCAGATAAATAGGATTGCATTCATCAAATGATGCAGAATACATCTTATTCGCCGTTGACGCTGCCTTGGAGTGTATGTATGCCCCGCAGTTGTTACACATTATCTACAGCTTGGTGATTATTTTCTGATGTATTTTGCCTCTTTCTGTCCAGTCATATCATTGCCCCTCACCAAAGAAGATGCCTTTCAGCAAGATGGACCCAAGTTGCACCATAGGTTTCTACTCTAAAAGTGCTCAAGACTACGAGAGAATCAGCCAGGAGCTTTCTAAGGTGGGGAATAGTTGTCTTTGTCACAGGCCTTATTAAAAAAAATCAATTCACCACTTATTTATTATTATTATTATGACCAAATTGATATATTTATACTGTTTCTCCCCCTGCAAATGTGTGGTTAGTGATACAAGTTGACCAGTAGATGGCACCATTTAGCCATGAATCTGCTCTTACCTTGCTTCTCCAACCAGGCAACATGTTGGCTACATTTAGAAGTCTTACCCCCGTAGCTTATCAAATTTCTGCTTAGAGGACTCTAAAATCAATATCCTCTACAAGAGAGGTGCAATAAGATACCCCTCGTTAGGTTAAGTGATGAAATTGAAAGCAAACTGTTATGAAGTGTACGGCATGGTGTAACACTAGCACTCTGAATCACTGCTCTGTTGTTCCAGGTGCTGCAGCCGTCAGCCAAGGAGAAATACCCGGCGTTCACTTTAGTCCAAGGTCACGGCAGAGATTACGACCTGTCTGCAGGCCTGACCCCGGAGAAGAGAGAATGGCCCTTTATCCGTGACCCCCGGAGGACGGTCACCACCACCGGGGACTTTGTGCTGCTTTGACAGCGCGGTTTTTAAAAGACTACTGACGGGGAACTTCTTCTAATGAATCACACTGCTTGGTGATACACAAAGCTTTGTGTTTTAGTCTGCTGGGACACTGATGCTTATGGGATTCCACACCTCGGTTAATACCTCCTGAATACTTTGTTGCCAAGCAGTCTTTGCCATAAAAACTTTGGAATCATATTTGTTGTCTGGAACTGTGAGCTTCCTGAATTTTTTTAGGACACTTTTGGTGCTCCGATTTTTTTAATGAGCTAAGATGTCGTCTTATGCAAAGGAACATCGATTCTAGTGGAACACCTCAATTTGCGCCAAATATCGACATACTTATTTTTGAGGATTTTTTTTTTATTACTTACTTCATGTTTAGAATTATTAAAAGTATTTTCCTCATCATGATCGTAAGGTCCAGTTAATCACTCCGCCATGTTTTCAAGGCTAACAGTGTTAGACAATATGTCTAGTGTCATTGGAGTAGAGTGTAATTTTCACAGAGCCACATCTCAGTTGGGATAAGATGATTATTGTTAAGCTTTAATTAATATGGGCAAAGGGCTCTCTGAACTTTGGGAAACTTTTACTAAACCATTCTGCCAAAAACCTTTCATTATACAGGATGAATTCTTCACCTGTCTGAATCCCCTCGATAGCAGAAGCATACGGGACATTTGTTCTGAATACACTTATTTCATTATTGTGCCAACATGTCTTTCATTCACGTTACAGCTCATGTCTTTCTCTGAGCAATAACATATAATGGTGTTGTATGACGATGTGGTTGTTTGCGTGCCTCCTGGGTTTTTAGGTGGTATTTATAAAAAAAAGAAATAAAAAAAAAAGTGGCCAGAGATTGTTAAAGGGATAATGCCATGTGCTATATCCTTTATACATACAGTCTATGGCTATATCTCATCAAGCACTATCTGTAATGAACTACCCTTAGCAATAGAGTTATTTAGATATAAAGTAGTTACTGTATTTGTCTAATTAACACTGAAGTAAGTTTTAAGTCACAAAATGGTATTGTGGAGTAGCAATCTACACCTCATGATGAAATCAGAGACATATCAACCTTCCAAATAATAATAATTTGATATGCTGCATGTATGAACCATTTTGGTTAATCATTTCTACACACATTTTTATCATTTCAAACCATCCCTTTTTTATATCTTATACAATACGCAAAAGAAAGGGAATTTACTAACATTTCATATTAATGTCATTAATGTTTTTCCTTCTTTTGATTATCTCTTCCTCAATTCTAGTCTCCAGCAGTGAGTAACTTAATGCTATAATGCTTTTGAAACGCCTTTTACAGTATCTCCATCGTAGCAAACTAGTGAAGTGAAGAAGTATGTGACAACACATTAAGATGCCAAACAGGAACATGCACTTTGTTTTGATCACTTTCACATGACTGAAGTATTCTGCCTGTTGAATCTATTTTATGTACATCTTTGCACTGCAACAAACGCACGTCTGTTTGCATAAATTCACATAGAAAATGTAAAAAAAAAATAAAGTGAATAAAGGCAAAAATATTTGACTCTTTTAATCAGTTTGCTTCGTGTTTATCAACTTTTAGAATTTGAGGTGACTAGTTGGATAAAAAAGCACTAGATACAAACCTCAGCGATGTGTTGAAATGTATTCAATCCCTTTCTTCCCGGTCAAATGTAGTAGATTAAAACTAATCGTACGTGCTAACCATCTCTACAGCCCATTAACCAGGGACCGGAAAAAATGTGACCCAGTGACACTGGCAGCAATTGTGTTCCTCTGCAGAGGAAAAGAAAATATCCTTGTGTGCAAAGCTCTGTTACCATGGATAATTTGTGTGTTGCCCCCTTAGTTTGAGCTATGCTGGACTGTTTTCCTGTACAATACAAATTCTTGTATTATGATGAGCCTTGCTTTTTAAAGGAGGGAACTGTCCCCTCTGTGAGGAAGCCGGGCCAAGGGGGAAGATGGACGGACCGAAAAGAGAAGAATCCCTCATCTGTTCTCTCCATGGAGGAGAAATGGCAAAACACATAAAGGCATCATTTAGATCCCCTGTCTGATCTGTGTTTGTCCATGTGTCTTTTTTTCTTTTAGCGGACGACCAGCCGTCTGTGTGGACAGAGCGGGAACATCAAGTATGCAGAGGCAAAGGACCAGTGACATTTCCCAACTTTGGAAGATTAGAAGGCTTGAATGGACAGGAGGGAGGCGTAGGGGAGGGGGTGAGACATTTGGGGATTTTTGTGAGAAACATGAAAGGGCATTTGTGCTGGGGGGCACACAGCGCTCTGAGAGTTGACTGTGTTCTTTATGTATTTACAGGGGATGTATGAATATTTGATTAATGAGTCACAGGCTCAAGGGAAATGCAATAAGCAAGTGGAGGCTTTACAAAGCCACACCATGCCCTCCCGTTTAACACAGCTGCCTAGTGTCATAGACATTGCAGATTCTTGAAAATCTAATCTGCAGCAGAGCAAATTCCTCACAAAGAGGGAGTCCATGAAAGTCATTCCTCTGTTCCACAGAGATGGGTATGTGGGTTGGGGGGTGCATGAAAAGACCCCAAGACACCCAATAAGGATTTTATTTTTATTAGGGAGGCGTGTAGCGCAGTGGATTAGTGCGTTGGTGTTCAGATCAGGGGAGCACAGGTTCAAACCCCACTGCAGTCAGCATGTCGTTGTGTCCCTGGGCAAGACACTTCACCCCAAATTGCTCGTGGGGATTGTCCACAGTAATGAGTATGTAAGTCGCTTTGGTTAAAAGCATCTAACAAGTAACATGTAATGTAATGTAATGTCGGTGTCATCCACGGGAATAAATGGCCTGTGGCATGTAGCCCTTACAGGGAAGGGGCATTCTAACGTCTTAAGATCACACCTGTATCATAGATAAACCCCAGATTAGAGTTAGTCCTGCAGGCTTCTTGGACAAGGACACCTTTGGGACTTTATCCACACACCAAAGTTGAGATATGAGAGCAGCTGGGGGAATCTCAATACCTAGATAAGCTGTTAAAGGCATTAAGGTCACAGTTTCGATGTTATTCTCAAAACATTCCAGAGAAAAGGGGAGATATCTGGGTAAAAAAAGGACATTCTATCACGTTTTATTCATTTTCAAATAGTAGGGAAAAAAAGACCAGTGTCGATCTTGCAATCTAAGTGCATGTAGATCAAGATTAATCATGTCATTTGTGAAATGAATGGTATTAATAGATATAAATTAAAAATATGCTTCTTAATGTGTATTGGGTGGGGCCTGTTCAAGTTTCATGGACGCAATGTGAACACATAAAACAACTCTGTTTTTCATGAAGATATTATCTAATTTGTGTGACTTAGCTTTGCTGACGAAAGTGAACGTGATACACTACAAAGTGTCGTTTCTATTCCCTCTAACCCGTGCTTCTGAGGATCTCCTCCAGCCAAGATCAGACCATGACTGATGACGCTGTGGACATCCAGGAGAATTAGATTTAACAAAAAGGCGACGACACGGGGGAAAGTAATATGCACAGTCTGTGTACGTGTCTGTGTGTGTGAAGGTATGAATGAGGCTGTGTGGAAGTGAAAGAGCTAAAAAGCGATGTGTCCGGTCTTTTCAATTCACGAGTAGTGTGTAAATTTACATGGATGAGTGTGTAGTTTACACATGTACGTCTTGTGTGTAAGTCATTCTAAATCTTAGGTGTCACACTCCCTCCCTGTCTTCACACCAGGTGCAGGGGTGCTAGATTTATACCCAGTAGCCCTTGCCCACCCTTGTGGAATGCCATGCATCTTCAAACAGGTACTTCACTTTGAAATCTCATCTCGGCGTGATATCTCTAGGCGGCTAAATATATCCGGCTCCTAGATCCCGCAGCCGTCGGAGCGTAAATACCGCCTGCGCTGCATCAGTCTGCATTCAGAGTCTCAAGTCTGTCCACGCAACTGTCCACTTGTCTCCGCCCGTCTCCTTCCAGCAGCTCCCCCTCCCCCCCCCACCATCTATCCTGGAGCTCCTGGAGAAGTGCTGAGGCACTGCATGCCTCGCACTTCTCTTCTGGGCTGAGGCCAGACAGATGTCATGATGCTGTGATTAATCAGCAGCACACAGGACCGAAGCTTTGAGGGTACACCCCCACGTGAACATGACCCGCAGCACACATTAGGTCAAAGGTTCTACAACAGGAGAAACATATTTCCAGCCTATTTATATCTGCTCTTCATTCTTTATGAATCACAGAGCAGAGGCGTTCCCACATTCTACCCTGTTCCAGATAAACAAGGCAGCAAGAGTGATGTGATTCCTTTGATAACCCATGATAGACTTAGTAACAAGTATTTTCAGTAGTTTTCTATTGTGAGTAAATGGTCACTTATATTTTTTTATTGTTTTGCAAGACAATTATAATTTGTTTTATTAATTACAAGAAATAGTCATTTGAACCTCACAAAATGACTTATTTAGGTTTTTGGCATGTGAAAAGTGTGCAGATAAACACAGTTCAATTGAATTAGTTTATAGTTGGTTTTGTGTAGGATTGATCTTAATAGTATTGTGTTAGTGAATTCAAACATATCATCCACACTTGCCTGAGGGTTGTCTTGCAGTTTGTGGCTCCATGATAAGTGGTTTAGATAATGGATGGACTTCAGTATCTATATACACAAAAAAGTCAAAGGTTTTATCAATATCATTTAGAAATAAAACATGTAATTACAACACGATCCTGGCCCTAAAGCAAAAGCTTATCTTTAAGATGGCAACGTGTCACCAGGTAGGAGATTTTGTTAAGTTTGATAAGAGTTGAATAAATTGATTGATTTCAAATAATCAACCATTGAAGTCCTATTACCTAATGGGCAGTGCCGCTTTAAACAATTATTATTTGAGTTGAAATGACAAACTTCTTTTTAGAACAAGGACAGTAAGGACGTCATTCTCCTTCTCTTTAGATTACATATTGAGTTTACCAGATAAACAAATACCGGTACATACTGAGTGGCACTTAGATCGGAATGAAAATTCCTTCCTTGCTTTACCTCAAAATAACTTCTGAAAGTGGGCTGTATTTGCTTTTTAAGTGCCATTGTTTTGCATCAGAGTCTTCCCCTCTTCCTACTGAGAAGAGTGTACATGGCAGAGGCCCAAAGCAAAGCTCCTCACCTTGTGTTGGCTAACCTCGGCCCGCCTGTGACAACAAGAAGGGCACTGAAGTTAACATTTAGATAACGGATGTGTGTGCCACTTTCGATTTCCATTCCCGGTGACAGGGAATCTTAGGAGCACATCACGGGTTGTGTATATGTGTGTGTATGTGTGTGTCTGTGTTGGGGGGTGGGGGCACTCCTGTGTTTCCTGCATCTCAGGGGTGATGTGGAGGAACGCCGAAATTCCTCATTCTGCTGTCCTCTGAGGCATGGCCGGCCCTCTGTCAGCCTTTGCTAACCAGATGCATCCGAAACAGGCGCCGAGGCTGAAGGCAGGGGATATTGCCTGCTGTGTAGCTGTCGACTTGTTTCTCATTGCATGCCTGTGTTGAGCGGGGTGGCAAGTGTGTGTGTGTGTGTGTGTGTGTGTGTGTGTGTGTGTGTGTGTGTGTGTGTGTGTGTGTGTGTGTGTGTGTGTGTGTGAGTGGATGGGTAGAGGTTAGGATGGTGTCAGCCTGTCTGTGAGTCTGTGTAAATGTGTGTGGCAGGACATGCTATGAATTTAGGAGTGTGTATCCTCCACCACACAAAAGCCGTTACTCTAGTGTTGTCGTGATGCTGGGGACTGTACGTTTTGTCCAATGACTAACTAATGATAATCAGTGTGTGGTTTTTAACAAGTGTGTATGGCAGTGAGATATACATTAAAATAGAAACACTGAGATAAATCTATGAGTTATCTTCTTTATTCTTTCTTGTCTGTGTGTGTGTGTGTGTGTGTGTGTGTGTGTGTGTGTGTGTGTGTGTGTGTGTGTGTGTGTGTGTGTGTGTGTGTGTGTGTGTGTGCAATCTCATCTCCATCTAAAACTCCTGCAGGCCCTGCGCACCATTATCACGCAGTTGCAATAAAACCCACAGTAATTAAAGGGGATCTGGCTGTAATTGCCTCAGTGAATCAACTTAATCAGCACCTGTGCTCACAGTCAACCTAATGGTGCAATCTAACCTTTTAATACCCCAGAAATTAGAATTGTAAAAAATTATACCTGATTATCATTCTGTATTTTGAAATCCTTGAGTGGACAATGAGTGGACCATTGTCCAAGGCAAATATTAAAGCTGCAGTCTGCTGAGTGTGCATATCAGAGAGTGTGTGAGAGAGTGAGAGAGAAGGTAGGGGAGAGAAAGGGAGGCTGAAATGTCAGGATGAAGACATGCCACAAATGATATTGATATTGGAATTACAATAGTTTGTGGAGTGTGATTAGTTTATATACAAACATTTTGATGATTGATTATTTAACAAATATATCTGGTTCTTCAAGTGCTCTATAAATTGTAAACTGAATTAGTTTAGGTTTCGGACAGATTTCGGAGAATAAAAGCATTTCAAACAA